TATTGACGTATCTCTGGGAGTGTATTCCGGTATGTGTAGTGGTCTTAGACGTGATGAAAAGCTTTGCGGTGAGCGTTATCTTGTTGTTTTGGGTGAACATGAAAAGAGGATGGACGGAAGGGGTGGGGTTTGTAGAGGGGGGGGGGAGGGGGTAGAGGAATAGGAGGTGTGTGGGGAGAGCAAGAGGAAGTGGAGGTGTTTGGGGAGGTTGGAGAGAACGGAGTGTGAGAAGGCGGAATTAATGCGGAAGTGTGACGGAAGGGGTGAGTGTGTGTGTGTGGAGAGAGGAGGAGAGGAAGGAGAAGTGTGTGAAGGGAGGACTCGGAAGAAAGTGTTCAAAGAACAAGTTGTGCGTTTTGGTAGAGTTTGCAGAGAGAGAGAGAGAGAGAGAGAGAGAGAAATGAGGGCAGAGGGAGACGTGAGAGATCATCTGTACACCGGCTCTCCACGCTAAGGGGGGCATCTTCTTGGTTCCTTGTACTTAAGCCATCACTGACACGTCATAATTCCCTATCAACATGCAGTGGCTGGCTCTTAGATACGTTATCAGTACAACAAGGCAAGAGAAGTCGTCTGAATGCACATACAGATGAGTTTGCAATCATTTGCAGTCCCAATCCCTAACAAGCTCTCGCAAGTCAAGCCTGTCCCTGGTTGGTATGCATCTTATAAGGATATAGGGGTTTCCACAGTCCTGTTTAGGAGCCTCGTCAACATCATGTATCAAGGAGTAATGGATTGTATTGGCATGGAGATCTGGGTCAGGCTTCGTCAAACATATTTGTGTCCACTTACGAAACCTCTACATCTTTCCTCAATAACAGTGGCATAGTTACCATTTATTAAACAGTTTATGAACTCTGAACCGTTACGAGGTTGTTTATAACAATAAGAACCTTGGGTTGCGAAGTGTTTAAGTTCGACAATTGTTTAGTAAATGCAGGTTAAGCCGCCATGATCGAGAAAAGATGTAGAGGTTCCGACAGGGGAAATGTATATGCCGAAGCTACTTGACGTAGATAGAAATCTTCTGTCATTTAATAATTACTTAATTACTACTTGACGTAGATAGAAATCTTCTGTCATTTAATAATTACTTAAGAAACTTAACCATTCAGGCTACCTACCTGAAGTCAGACAGTCAAACAGAGATGTAGGCATGCAGATATGTAGATAGATGGGAAATAAGGCAGACAAGCAGAGATACAACCAGACAGTCGAGAAGCGGACATATAAGCAGTAAACTGAAGAGGTACAAGCAGACTTGAGAAAGGGCCGGTAGGTGGAGGGTGCGACGGAGAGGGAAGGAGGGGTGAGTGTGTGATGAAGCAGAGGAGGAGGAGGAGGAGGCAGGCGAGATGGCTATGAGAGCCGAGTGTCCCAGAATCAGTGTCCCCGCGGCCAGCTTCCTGCCCGCGGGGACATCAACAACTACCAATCCATTTCGCCCGGAAGGAATCATCCATCAATCTTCAAAAAACTATATATATATTTTTTAACCATATTTCAACTCGAGGCGAAGCAGGAGTATTCCTAAATAACCTTATTTAAAGGAACTTAAAGACCGTAGAGCTTATTTAGGAAACACTGTGAGCTAAGGGAAGTGATGACAAGATCGAAGCAATTTGGAAGAGCAAGATCGACCAGGACAGGTTGTAGCAAGGACCATACAGATGGGAGCCAGAGAGCAAGAGTAGCTCAATTCCGGTTAGCACTGTGTGGGAGGGGGGGGGGGTTAGGAGGAAGGGCAGGAGGCTGGTGCACCTAAATGGAGGACAGAGAAACTAGAGGGTGAGAGGACGTCTGATTAATAAGGTAGTAAGGTGTGAGAAGCAAGTCTTAATGTGTTAGGGAACGTATGAATGAAATTGGAGAGAGAGAGAGAGAGAGAGAGAGAGAGAGAGAGAGAGAGAGAGAGAGAGAGAGAGAGAGAGAGAGAGAGAGAGAGAGAGAGAAGACAGAGGGAGAGACGGTAAGGTGGCAGGAGGGAGGCTGGAATAGAGGGAACAAAGAGACGGAAACAGCGGTCGAGGTGACGGAGTGATGGACACACACACACACACACACACACACACACACACACACACACACACACACACACACACACGGCAATAAGGCCACACGCAAAATCTCGCCGAAGCTACTGAAGGAAGCTGGCGATACGTCGCCCTGGGGACACGACTCCCTGGGGACACGACGCCCTGGGGACACGACGCCCTGGGGACACGACGCCCTGGGGACACGACGCCCCGGGGACACGACGCCCCGGGGACACGACGCCCCGGGGACACGACGCCCTGGGGACACGACGCCCTGGGGACACGACGCCCTGGGGACACGACGCCCTGGGGACACGACGCCCTGGGGACACGACGCCCTGGGGATACGACGCCCTGGGGATACGACGCCCTGGGGACACGATGCCCTGGGGATACGACGCCCTGGGGACACGACGCCCTGGGGACACGACGCCCTGGGGACACGACGCCCTGGGGACACGACGCCCTGGGGATACGACGCCCTGGGGACACGACGCCCTGGGGACACGACGCCCTGGGGATACGACGCCCTGGGGACACGACGCCCTGGGGACACGACGCCCTGGGGATACGACGCCCTGGGGATACGACGCCCTGGGGACACGACGCCCTGGGGATACGACGCCCTGGGGACACGACGCCCTGAGGATACGACGCCCTGGGGACACGACGCCCTGGGGATACGACGCCCTGGGGATACGACGCCCTGGGGACACGATGCCCTGGGGATACGACGCCCTGGGGACACGACGCCCTGGGGACACGACGCCCTGAGGATACGACGCCCTGGGGACACGACGCCCTGGGGATACGACGCCCTGGGGATACGACGCCCTGGGGACACGATGCCCTGGGGATACGACGCCCTGGGGACACGACGCCCTGGGGACACGACGCCCTGGGGACACGACGCCCTGGTGACTCGACGCTCCGGTGACACGAATTTATATATAAAAAGATTTAATCAAAGAGGACTGAACAGCAACATTTGCAGATAATACAAAAAATGTGCCGAAAATATATTCAGAAGACGACTCAAACTCGCTATAAGACGATTACATAGGATTTTAAAATGGAAAAAGAGAGATTGGATAATGCAATTTAATCCTGTGGAATAACCATGTCTTAAAGCAACTTAGGATAACCCACCATCCCCAACCCCTTCTCCCATTAGATCCAACACCACTCGAGTCTACCTCTCTAACCAGTCTTTCTGGAGGTTTTGTTCTAAACACTTTTCTGTCATTCAGTCGACGTTGCCATATATATATATATATATATATATATATATATATATATATATATATATATATATATATATATATATATATATATACAGCCATTGTTGATATGCATATATATATATGTGTGTGCCTTTTGGGGCAGATGTGATGTCGATTCCCAGGTATTTGATTCTCTGAGGTTCCTGCTTCACAGACTGTGCTGGACTTGTCATCTGCTTTCTCCTGGGCTTATTTCCATTGCATTGCATTTAATATGGCTGAATTTCATTAGCCACTATGCATATGTAAGCATATACACATGTATATGTATATGGGAGGCCTGGTCAAGGACCGGACCGCGGGGACGCTAAGCCCCGAAATCATCTCAAGATAAGATGTGTATGCACGCATGTACATATGTGTACGTACGCATGTACATATGTATGTGTATGTACGCATATACATATATATGTGTAGGTTTATATATGTCTGTGAATATATAAATACTTGTGTATATATAAGTATGAACACACACTCAGACCGTCTTACAACCCCCCCCCCCCACCTCCTCCCCATCTTGGTGAATTACCGGAAGGGTGAAAGAAGGTGATTTACTGCCTTGTTGAACCACTCATCCAAGCATCTCCCACCTTCCCCCTGAACTACTCTCCCTGCGCCCCCTCTCCCCCCTCAACCCCCCCCCCACCCCAGGGTCATAAGCCATCACCCATCTACTCCAACTCACCCACACGACACCTACTCTCTCTCACTCCCTCTCACCCACACGACACCTACTCTCATCCAACACTTATTCTCTCTCCCAGTTTGCCAGGTGACGATGAGGAAGATACGCGCCAGAATACAATGAACAGGTGAGAGAGAGAGAGAGAGAGAGAGAGAGAGAGAGAGAGAGAGAGAGAGAGAGAGAGAGAGAGAGAGAGAGAGAGAGAGAGAGAGAGAGAGAGAGAGAGAGAGAGAGACATAGAGGGACTCGACACAGCAAGACAGCATACATGGGGACATAAACCAAGGCTCCGGGGACTCGTGGACACGCCGAGCTGTATAAAACAGTGACAATCAAACTCTCTAAAATCATTACGGTGTTTAAGAGAGGCCGCGCTTCTCAGTACTTTACGCCCGAACATCTGCCCCACTGCAGCTCAAGGTTCCCGGCACTATAGCCCTTCACGGACAAGGTGATTAGGTCGAGAGTGGGGCTGCATATGCGTGTGAGTGGGCCTGTGTGGCCATGATTACCTGGTGTAAGCACGTGCGAGTTTAACGATTCTGAAACACCTTTCCATCTCCCCCCCCCCCTCTCATCTTCCGGGTGCCGGGGGAACGATGATTACAAGGTTTATCGTTTAGTTTTCCTTCCTTTATATGCGTTATCGAGTGCCTTATTTGTCTAAATTTGTTATATTCGTAATTTATAGATAGGTTCAGATATAATCAAGATACAAATAATTGCTCCTTGTAGTAAAAATTAACATAAATATGAATTGTGAGCTCTCTTCCCGGCAACATCTTCAGGAGCATCCGAATCACCTGCCGACGAGCTGACTGGCTAGTCGCTAGCTATGCCCCGCCTACCGGCTCCTGTGAATGGCCAAGAGCGCTAGGGAGGCTGTGATGCCTCCGCGCCATTGGTTCATATTGTTTCTCTACCTGCCAGCTGGTCTCGAGGTTATAAAAGCCATCCACTTGCCCGCCAAAGATCAGTAGCTATCGTGAGACGGAAAAGTGAGGTGTCAGTGGAATTTTCCTCACATGGATAGCACGATGGCTTCCCTCGATAATTTGAGAAATTATTCACATTGTCCGCCGAAGAAGCGACCTCTATCGTTCTACAGCGCACAGGATGATGATGGTAAGTGATTACAACTAATCATTGTATAAATTTTAAATTATTTTATCATGTTAAATTTAACAATATTTAATTTGTAATTCGAGTGGTAAAATACATACTATAATTTTATTTAAATTTGTTTACAAACAGAATTGAATATCGAATGCAGTTCAGTTGTCATTCATAGGAAAGTCGGAGTGTGTTTCGTTAAGTAATTCAATTAGCAAATTAGTGAATTATGCATTAACTAGCACGTCAAGCAAATGATTATAGTTTCATAATACATTCATACGTCTAGTAACTGATCTACTAACAGCGACTTGCCTAGTAACTTGTGACTTGTCTGGTAACTTTTGTGACTCGTCTGGTAGCTTTTGTGACTAGCCTAGTAAGTTTGTGACTCGCCTAGTAACTTTTGTGACTCGCCTAGTAACTTTTGTCACTCGCCTAGTAACTTTTGTCACTCGCCTAGTAACTTTTGTCACTCGCCTAGTAACTTTTGTCACTCGCCTAGTAACTTTTGTCACTCGCCTAGTAACTTTTGTGACTCGTCTAGTAACTTTTGTGACTCCTAGTAAGTGACTGAACAGTTGACTCTCCCCATAATGTGAGCCAGTCTCCATACCTATCCCTCAAATGAGTCAACATATCAATCAAAAATACATTAGTCTACCATTCCTGGTGTTTGGGTTGTGTTTGTTATGTATGTTCTGTTCATGTATTTTTGTGTGTTTATAAATGTATGTTGATGTATTTTTGTGTGTTTATAAATGTATGTTGATGTATTTTTGTGTGTTTATAAATGTATGTTGATGTATTTTTGTGTGTTTATGAATGTATGTTGATGTATTTTTGTGTGTTTATGAATGTATGTTGATGTATTTTTGTGTGTTTATGTATGTATGTTGATGTATTTTTGTGTGTTTATAAATGTATGTTGATGTATTTTTGTGTTTATGAATGTATGTTGATGTATTTTTGTGTGTTTATGTATGTATGTTGATGTATTTTTGTGTGTTTATGTTGATGTGTTATTATTTCTGATTTGTTTGGTATAACTTCGGTGCATTTGGTGTGTATTAATGTGCATGTTATGGCTGTGTGTGTTATTCGATAGTGTTTATTTCTGACACGAGTATGTCACGGTGTTCATCCCTGTCACGTGGGCATGACAGTTTTCATTCTTGACATGAGTGCATGGGCATATCCACAGCTGTCAAGAGTGCATGACAACATCCACCCCTCCTGTCATGAGTGTATGACAGTATCCATCCCTGCCACGAGTGTCTATCCGAGGTGCAATATTTTTCATTATTTTCTAATATTTTTCAAAGTATATTTTTCACTAGTTGGAGTGTAAGGTGGCATGTGTGTATAATTATTATTTGTGCCTGCAAAATCGAGCTATTGGACACCGCCGATCTATTTCACTCTATTATGTCCTCTACATATATTTCTCTCTAACACATGCACTTTCCCAGGAAGCAGCCCGTAGCAGTTATCTAATTTCCACGTATCTATATACTGCTAGGTGAACAGGGGGATCAGGGTGAAAGAAACTGTGCCCATCTGTTTCTTTCTCTGCCAGGAATCGAGCCCGGACCCAGAGGACTATGACTACGTCCACTGAGCGCTCTCCACTCAGCCGCGAGGCCCCCTTTGTCACTCCTATATGTGTCGAGTTTCCACCTAGCTGTACTTGTGTGTGTGTGTGTGTGTGTGTGTGTGTGTGTACTCACCTAGTTGTACTCGCCTAGTTGTGCTTGCGAGGGTTGAGCTCTGGCTCTTTGGTCCCGCCTCTCAACCGTCAATCAACAGGTGTACAGGTTCCTGAGCCTATTGGGCGTGTGTGTGTGTTGTGTGTGTGTGAGTGGGTGAGAGAGAGGCGGCGTGTGAAGGCATGAGTGCAGGGAGAGTATAGTGCTCCTTGACTGATCCATAAAACTATTTAGGTGTGACCTGATGTATTGTTCCAATCATAATTGTGTTCCTTTCCTACACAGCCACCCCCCCTCCCTCCCCCCTCTCACCCCCAACTGACCACTCTTCCCCCCAACTGACCACTAACCCCCTCCCCCCACGATAATCTCTCCCCCCTCCTCCACATTTATGCCTCACTAACCTTTCTCTTTCCCACCAGGTGCTGACGACCAGCCTCAAGACCTAAGTGTGAAGCGACGAAGGCACCGCGATGACGAGGTGGCTCGAGTTTCCAGCCCGCCCACTTACACGCCGCCCACGCCGCCCAAGCCGCCCACGCCACCTCCACCCAGGCAGTCCCCCGCCAGCCCTCCACGCCTGCCCTCACTGGCAGACTTCTACCTGAAGCTGTTTCAAACGACGGCTGTTCAGCAACAACAGCAGAGTGAATGGTGGAGAGGATCAGTAATGTGGCCGCTCATGCACTCTGCCACCCACTCTCCCCTCACCGCCCACTCGCCCCTGGCCGCCCACCCTGTGTTGGCCGCCCGCTTGGCCTCGCCACAGCCCTCTGAGGAGCGCTTGGCCTCCCCTCGTTCCACAGCTTCGGAGGACTCTGGCGTCGGCACAGAGTCTCTGAGTGAGGACGAGATCGAGATTGATGTCACTAGTGATAGCGAGACTTACAGCAGGACTTCCTTCGACGCCATCCACGACTCCGCGGGTGGGCGTGGCGAGGCGCGGTACTCGTGCGCAGAGTGCAGTAAGTCGTACTCAACGTACTCTGGCCTGAGCAAGCACAAACAGTTCCACTGCGCAGCGCTGGGTGCCAAGTCGTTTGCGTGCAAGCACTGCGAGAAAGTGTACACGAGTCTGGGCGCACTCAAGATGCACATCCGCACGCACACGCTGCCGTGCAAGTGTCAGCTGTGTGGCAAGGCCTTCTCGCGGCCGTGGCTGCTGCAGGGCCACATCAGGACCCACACCGGGGAGAAACCCTTCCAGTGCCCGCAGTGTGACCGGTGCTTCGCTGACCGCAGCAACCTGCGGGCCCACCTTCAGACCCACGCTGACGTTAAGAAGTACGCATGCGTCACCTGCCACAAGACCTTCTCCAGAATGTCTCTCCTCAACAAGCACACCGAGGCCGCCTGCCCAGCCAGACCCCACCAGGAGCAGCACTCCCCCGCAGCTGAACCCCACCAGGAGCAGCACTCCCCCGCAGCAGGACACTTCCTCCACCAGCACCTCCCCGCAGCACCCCAGTGAGCTCCCTGATGTGAGGAAGCAGAATGCTGACAACCAAACAGGCATCCGAATCACAAACAAGCAGTCACACCCCAAGCAAGCAACCCAGCCTCAAGCAATGCAGCCACACCCCAATCAGCGCCATATGAACAATCATCACATCAAATGTACAAACGGAAAAACGAGGCGGGGCCGCAAGACGGCCCTCAAAAGGAGCACCTCCCCGCTTGGCTTTTTTACCCAGTGAGTCACAAGCTTCAAGAAGCAAAGAAGAGTAGGGCGTGGCTGCCGGACCCCACCCTACGACCCCACCCTACGACCCCACTAAGCTGGCAAATAAGACCCCACCAGCATCTAGTCACATACACGCACACTAATGTATAGTCAGTTCTCTGTCGTTGCAGAGAACTTTTGCACAAAATAAAGAATTATATTATTTTATCTCTACATGTGTCTTGCTCAAGCATCCTTCGCTTCTCCCATCTTAAGTGTTACATGATAACTTAAGGGTCATATCTACGCCATATAGGGTACGTATTCTGTATGAACTGTATGAACTACACATTGATGAATACGTAAGGACGGCTGTATGAGCATATATTTGTATTCTCAAGCTGCCAACATCATCACACACTGTCGCAAACCACACACTGATATAACTTACACTGCCTAATTAAGACATCACATGCCACCCACTAACTGCACACTCCACCCACTGACGATAACTCCGCACTCCACCCCTGATGATAACATCACACTATACCCCACTGACGATAACAACACACTCCACCCACTGACGATAACAACACACTCCACCCACTGACGATAACATCTCACTCCACCCACTGACGATAACATAACACTCCTCCCACTGACGATAACATGGCATGTCACACCTAGGCCTACTGATTAAAACACCTCACTCCACTTAAATCATCGTATATACAAAACATCACCAGCTGTTTTGCACCAGATCCCACACCAACCTACGACAAGAAACACCAATTAACTATATTTAATGGTGATAATTACTTTATACGCAATAGATATAAACTATTCAAGCTGATCATTAAATTCATTACCCTCTATGGTAAATCCTAGAGTAAGCCTACTGCTAATAAATCCTGATATAAGATTTTACGAGAAGAAATAATTCATTTATAACACTCAAGATGAACAAAACATTTAACAATACCATAACCAGTGTTGGCTATTGTGGTTCAAAATACACCAATTGATGAAATGAAAATCTAAATGCAGGCGTGAAATATCGAATAGTGTTTCTACGTAAAAGTTGCTCATTTGATCTGGAGTTACTGTCTTCCCGCCAAAATGTGTTCCCGCGCTTACGACGTCACATCCGCCTAGCTTCCCATTTTCTGTGGACGCGCGCTCTGGGACCCCTGGAGACCGCCTTGGAAAGTAATGAAGTTAAAAAACAGGTAATATTGAAGCTCACTAAATTCAGTTATTTAGGTCATCTCTTTATACTTAGATTGCTGCTATACACACCAGAGTGAGTACATTAATAACGACCCGAAGCAACGTCAGTAACGATCTGAAATGTCAACGTCAATTACGACCTGAATTACGTTAATAACGACCTGAAACAACGCTAATAAGGACCTGAAACGACGTTAATAACGACCTGATAACCCCTATCACGTTAATAATGACTTGAAACAATATTTATAACGTCTTGAATGAACCTCAATAACGACCTGAATGAGCGTCAATAACCTGAAAAAAACTGAAACGTCAATAGTGACCTGAAACAACGGTGAGATAACTGCAAATTGACCTTAGTATTAGCAAAGTGAAAATAACGCTTGTCACTATATAATCACCGTACGGTGGAGGTAGATACTATAATTTCTACTTTATTGCTTAAGCTTTATATATGTGGATTATTCACTGTGAATAAATCGTGTAAAACTGGTACAGTGTCCCATTTTCTTTCCTTGTGAAATGAGATCGAAAATATTAGAGTTAGCCCTGGAATTTACCAGCGTTTATATAAGAGCATTTTCCATGAAAGAAAATGGCGGCCCTCAGAACTTGCGGCCTCGTTCAGCCAACTACGGTAGTCAGACTCTGAATTCGTGTTATTTTTTTTCGGAGACCCTGACATTCAGAGAGTGTGATCCCACATTATTGCTAATCCGGTAGTTAATTTTATCAATGTGAAATAAAATGCAATATTAATAAAGGTACAAAAGATTACATATATATATTTTTTGTTGTATACAGGCCTAGGTACAACTTCACCTCACCCACTCTTCTTCCTTCTCTCCTTGTATGGGTCATTATCCTCCCTCTCTCTCTCTCTCTCTCTCTCTCTCTCTCTCTCTCTCTCTCTCTCTCTCTCTCTCTCTCTCTCTCTCTCTCTCTCTCTCTCTCTCTCTCATGTTTTGGTTCTCCATGAAATTATTTAAAGTACGCGGGTAAAAAACATTCAGAAAAATGCGAAAGGTGTACCGAGCATATCAGTGATGTTCACTGAGAGTTTAGTTTAGTCCTGGACAACGTTCAGGACTAGAGTACGCCTCATGACTGAACAGTAATTCCTGGAAGATGGGTCGTTGGAGGGAATTATCTTTCTCAAAGGTGATATAGATGCTTCTTCAATAGTTTCTGGTTTATGAGAACATTTCCACCTAAGTTTGAAGAGAAAACGACCCGCTCACGACCACACTCCCGCAAGTTCTACCTCAGCCTAACAACGTCCACATAACCGCTATTCAAGGCTTTGATTAAGTTCGAGAAATGTTTTCATGACTCTTGTCGACCTTGGACGACCAAACCCAGACGAGAGAGCCTCTCCTCTCACACACACCTGTATAATTGAACTCCTCATTTGGTGCTGATGATTGTTTACACGAGTCCCTCCCTCCATGTATCAGAAAATGGAATCTGGGTTGGGGGGGGGGGAGGTTCTTAGAAAAACGCGAATAATTTAGTTTATATACAGGTGTAAACTGCAGAGTGGAGAGACCAGCGCAAAGTGCTCCGTAATTTACAAATCACAATAGCGTGATATATCTAGGATAATTTTTTTTATTTGGAGCAGTATGGTAGGATCGAATCTGCGTTTTAGGTTACAAACCACGATGTGCTGAAAAGTAACATGACCTGGGGCCAGATTCACGAAGCAGTTACGCAAGTACTTACGAACGTGTACATGTTTCCTCAATCTTTGACGGCTTTGGTTACATTTATTAAACAGTTTACAAGCATGAAAACTTGCCAATCAACTGTTGTTATTGTTATAAACAGCCTCCTGGTGCTTCGGAGCTCATTAACTGTTTAATAATTGTAAACAAAGCCGCCAAAGATTGAGAAAATATGGACAGGTTCGTAAGTGCTTGCGTAACTTCTTCGTGAATCTGGCCCCCCTAGAGTCAGTTCCACCTTATATCACGTTACGATTATATTTTGTGGATGTACAGCTGCTTGAATATTGTAACACATCATGAAAGATGTGAAATTAGGCGTATGAACTGGCATTAGCAGGATGTGACGAGGTGCAGTAATGTGGGGGGAACCATGTTGGTGGCCATATATGTGGTAATACCTAAGTAAAAAGCTATTCATTATGAATATGACTATGTCATATATATGAGCACAGCACGTCTCTCCACCCATCACGTGCACTCAGATCCCATGTCATGGATTCTCCTCTCATCACTGTATTGTTATCACCAACATGGCCAAAGTGGTTGGCACATTACCTGCCTCTGATCTACCTGTTGTTGGTTCCGGGAATCAGTGTCTCTGGGGCGGTCTGGTCTCTGACAAGGCCTCCTGGTTGGTGGTCTGGTCAATCAGGCTGTTAGACGCAGCTGATTGCAGTCTGACGTATGAATCACAGCCCATTTAATCAGGTATCCTTTGAAGGTGTTATATTTTCCAAGTATATTTTATTATGTATCTCTCCCGCCGGCATCCCAGATAATATAAATGATAACATTCTAAGCGTTCCAATAATTTAGATGTTTCATTGAATAGATTCAGGCAGTACAAGACCTTTGCATCTCCTTTGACCTTCTCCAGGTAAGTAACTTCTCCAGATGATGAGTCACAATAACGTGACTGAAAAACTTTGACCAAACCATATACTAGAAATTGAAGAGACGACGACGTTTCGGTCCGTCCTGGACCATTATCAAGTCGATTGTGATGAGACGAGGGAGATAAGGGCATAAAGTAGGCAAGAGAGTGGTTACCTACTTAACCATTCTCCATTCTCCAGCTTTGAATGGGGTAGACCGCATGCAACAATATTCCACCCTAGTCTCTATTTGACGCAAAGTCTTGGGCCGAGGGACACTTCGTAAGTTACCTGAATTTACCCGAGGGCCACTGTCTCTAGTGGCCTCGAAGGAGACAAGAAGCCGGCGGCTTTTTAAAGGTCCCGCTCCCTCCTACCTCATCATTTCTAAGGGTTTTATCAAGCTGAATTTTAAACTGAAGTATTGCCTTTGCATTTATAGCTTCGGCGAATAGGAGATTCCATGGATTTATTACCTATTAGTAACAAGAAATGGTTTTCAGTCCTACATAATGGTTTGTTGAACTTGAAATTCTTGTCCCTTGTGAGAGTTACAGTTTAGCTTATTAAACTTGAAGTTGTTGCTCTCTAAGGGATGTTCCACTGCAGCTTATTAAACTTGAAGTTGCGTGGGTTACACGCAACTTCACGGTGGGTTGCTGAGCATGAATATATTGCTTCTTGTGTGGGGTACACTGGAACTTTAAAGAAGTGGTCCGACATTTATTATGGTTTTCGTTCACTACTCTTCTCTATACTTCTCTCCTCACCCACTACTTCGCCTTGCCTTGGGAAGGAACATATGTAGAAAACCAGGAACATATTGCAAGAGAAAAATAAGAAATAAATGGGAGGGAATTAAGAGTCAGAGTAACAGTAGGTAGGACTAAGACCTTTCCTACCCTTCCCTCCCATCCTCTACCTGCCCAGGTCTCTTAATCACCAGCAGGTGTACCTCTGAGACCACCTTTATTATACGTGATTCTTGAAGAATAGAGGAGGCATTGAGTCTGTCTATCAGGGGTCCTATGGAGGCCCCTCTACTGACCCTCGGACGGTGGGGCCTCCCATGACTGGCTTGGCATTTGCTCGCCTTGCTTCGTCTTGGAACCTGTGGGGTGAATTTTGGAATCTGTGGGGTGAATCTTGGAACCTCTGGGGTGAATCTTGGAACCTCTGGGGTGAATCTTGGAACCTCTGGGGTGAATCTTGGAACCTCTGGGGTGAATCTTGGAATCTGCGGGGTGAATCTTGAAACTTGGAGGGGAATCTTGGAAAAAAGGTGAGTAAATAAGTAATCATCAAAGAAGGAGGAACATTGCTGAATCTTC